AGATCTGTCTCAAAAAACTCAAATTAAACCAACCAAAAAAGTGAGACACATATAAGCCTATCAGCAGTCTTACCTTCCAGTGTTCTTCACATAACTTGTGCTTGAAAACCTACCTCCTTCAGCAACTAAGCTCCTAGCTTACACACTAAGCTTTGGAATTAAGAGATGGCTCAGGGACTAAAAGCATGTACTTACTTACTGCTCTTACAGAGGACCTGAGTTCAGTTGCCAGTTGGGTGGCTCACAAGCTCTAGTAACTCCAGCTCCAGGGGATATGATGCCCTCTTTTGGCCTCCGGACACAGGCACTTATATGGTATTCACACACACACACACACACACACCAATAAAAATACATCATAAAACAAACAAACTTGAGCTTTTCATGATGGAAAGGAAGTGGAACAAAGAGCGCACAGTTTTCAATGCTTCTGTTTAAACCAGAGACCTAAAGCATAAAAATAAAGCTGAATTCCTGAAAAGGAGAAACACACAATCTAGATCTTCATAAACAGCCATTTCACCACATATGGGGACTAGGTAACAGTTAAGTCCAATAACTTCATAAAACTCAGTATCAACAGGGGCTTCTACTGTGCTTAAACACTAAGTACACCCATGATGCCATTAGATGGGGGAATACATGGCTTTAACCTAAAGGCCTTGGTCTGAGTTTCAACTCCATCATTCTGAGAATAATCAGAACATTCAAAATTAGTTTGCTATTCCCATCTATGACAATAGAGTTGAGAAAGGCATTTCCCCTACCCCTCCCACCAGAAGAAGAGGAGAAAGAAGGGTTTTAGGAGCCAGAGAGGTCAAGGACACCACAAGAAACCCACAGAAACAACCAAACCGGGCTCATAAGGGCTCACAGAGACTGAACTGACAACCAGAGAGTCTGTATGGGCCCTCTGCATATATGTTGTGGTTGTGCTTGCTTGGAGTTCCTGTGGAACCCTAACAGTGAGAGCAGGGGCTGTTTCTGACTCTTTTGTCAGCTTTTGTGATCCTTTTCCTCTTACTGGGTTGCCTCACACAGCCTTAATATGAGGGGAGGTACCTACTCTTGTTGCAATATGATATGTCATGTCTGGTTGATATCCCTGGGAGCTAGGCCCTTTTCTGAAGGGCAACAGAAGAGGAGTGGATCTGGGGGGAAAGGGAGTTGGGGAGGAGGAAATGGGTCGAAAAGAGAGAAGGGAAGGAAAATTGTGGTTGGGATGTAATCTATGAAAGGGAAACAAAAAAAAAAACAAATGAACCAATAAATAAGCATTCACTTGGTGTGGAAGTATATGCTTTTAATACCAGCACTTAGCAGAAAGCCTAAATTTATAAAATATGTATATATTTTTTAAAAAGCCCAGAATATGGCATGGTGATATACAACTTTAATTCCAGCACTTTGGAAGGCAGAGGCAGGAGAATCTCTGTGAGTTCGAGGCCAGCCTGGTCTACAAAGCGAGTTTCAAGACAGGCAGGGCTGTTACAGAGAGAAACCCTATTTTGAAAAACCAAAATTAAATAAATAGATAAGTAAATCAAAATAAAATAAAATTAGTTTGTGATTCTAATTTATGACAGTAGAGTTAAGAAAGGTATTTTCCCCCTCAGCTCAGTTTGCAAATAGCCATTTCAGTAAAGCAAGGTGACTTAGCATGCTGTCATGAATGAGGCCAGTCATAGCTCCATATGTAGGTCACATTTCCAAATACCTGTGCCTCGCAGGTCTGCTGAATGGCACCTCAGTGGGTTGTGTCACAGGATGGGGTATGGGCCCCACACATTAGAGGAAGAGGTGGGAAGATGGGCGGCAGGTATCGTGGGTGGCCAGAGTGGTGTCAGTGGACTGGAATTTCCCTTTCAATGACAGAGTTAAACTGTTTCTGATTTGGATGGCATGTTACTACCCTGTTATATTAGGGTGGCCACCCAAGATTCCAGTATTCAGATGACACAGAAAACACAAAGAGGTTGAAAAACACTGTCCTTGTGTGGACCGCCTTCTCCCTTTCCCTGTGTATTTGGGTCTGACCAAATTGGCTTCCCCAAATGTACCAACCACTAAGTCATTTTGAATTAATTTTAATCCTGTTTTTCCACCCCTACTGCTGTAATCTTCCATTTAGTCCCTCTTCTAAAGACTTTCATGCCTTTGGGTGTGTATGTATGTGACCAACAAATTTAATTAGCTTTACTTAGTAGCTTATCAGTGACCATACTACCGAAAGAAGATAGTCTTCCCTTCCCCCAGAGGCTAATAACCTGCTACTGATCCTTGGAGAAGGGATCTTGTAAGCCTCCTCCTCATAGACATTAGACGAAGAACATTTGTATACTGAGTGAATATGTACTTGAATGCTCCTGCGAATGTGGAAGACAGAGGCCAGCCTCAGACATAATTCTTTTTTTCAGATTTTATTTCTTTATTATGTATATAGTGTTCTGCCTCCATATATGCCTGCATGCCAGAAGAGGGCATCAGATCTCACTGGAGATGGTTGTGAGCCACCATGTGGTTGCTGGGAATTGAACTCAGGACCTTTGGAAGAGCAGCCAGTGCTCTTAACCACTGAGCCATCTCTCCAGCCCCCTCAGACATCATTCTTATCAGTTTACCACCATACCTTTTGAGACATGGTTTCTCACTGAATCTGGAGCTTATCAATCTAGCTAGACTGGCTGGCCAGTGAAGCTCAGAGATCCTTCTACCTCTGTCTCCCAAGCACTAGGTTTACAGGCTTGAACCATAGGGCCTAACTTTTCAGTGAGTGCTGGGAACTGGCCTCAGGTTCGCATGCTTGCAAGGCAAGCACTTTACTGAGCTGTCTCTCTGGTGTCCCAGTAGCTTCCTAGTGATCTAGATGTCTAACAGGCAGCCCCTTCACAGACTGCTCATCCTTGCTCCTGAACTCCAGGGGTAGTTTTCTTCCTAGCTCCTGTTGTTTCTCCTTCACTTCCTTCTACTCAGACCCTCGATACCCATCTTTCCCTGTTGTCTCTGACTGTCTTCAGAGCAAGCAGATCTTCAACAACTGCCTTATCTGCATGTAAACAGCTCCTGTGCCTTTTACTAACGGTGACCTTCTGATTTTCGGCAGAGGTTTTCTGTCCAATGGCCCTCATCTTGAGCTAATGACAGTGCTGAAAGTCACTAGGTAAAAATGCAGTTCACTATTTTCCTCACAAGACTCGTTCTTCATTTATTTGGTGGTCATCACTCACCACCACCACCATCATCATCATAACCATAATCATCACCACCACCACCACCATCATCATAACCATCATCACCACCACCACCGCTATCACCATCATCACCATCATCACCACCACCACCGCCATCACTATCATCACCATCACCATCATCGCCATCATCACCACCACCACCACCATCACCGCCATCATCCACCTTCATCGCCATCACCACCAGCAGCAGCAGCAGTGTTGTGTATAAACTTTTTGCAGGTAGATTCCCCTTTCAATTACACTTGCCCATTGTTTAGACTTCATCTCTCAGTCCTAACACATTTTTCACGAATTCTTTCGCACTTTTCTTTCCCAGTTTTTTTATTCCCCTTTCTTCTATGCCCAGAGGGCTCACTTTGTGCTTTTTGCTGGCACAGACTCATGGTCCATCACATTGGGTTTCGTGAGGGCATTTTGTACATTCGTGTAGCATATTTTTACCCTATCCCCTTCATACCTGCTCACTCTGCTTTCTCACCTTTCCAACGTTGTACTCCTTTTAATTCAACTACTGAACCTTGTGAACTAGTCTTTAGTCATGTCTCTGTCCCGTTTTCCAATTTCTTTGCCCTTCTGCTAAACTTTCTAGGTTTCAAATCAGGACCCTATACATTTCTCTTGAATTTTTCAGTTTCTGTTATTGTTTTAAAAGGATTTGTTTCCTGCTTACTACCTTTTAGTGTCATGTTGCTTATACTCTTATCTCGGATGCTATTGGATCAACTCCTTCCTCATTTAATATGTTGTGTAGGCTCTGGCTTCCACTTTCCCATCACTCTTCCCAGGGCCTGATGATTGGACTGTTCATGCTTGCATGCCCATTGATATCTGTGCACACAGGGAGGCTTGCCACTGTGGGCTTCACTGGGCAGGACTTGGTTGAGGCATTTCTTCCACTGAGCCTCCACTGCCAATCTCTTCAGATGTTCCTCTTGCCTTGGATTCCTACAGAAAAGTCTCTTCTAGCTTCCTGCTTGGAGTTTGGGTGTCCTGGGAATGCACATAGAGCAGAATATGGGGAGGAAGGGAGTGTTTTTCAACATTTAGTGTCGTTCCGTGCAAGTGTTGCTCCTAACATCCATCATACTTGGTGTCGACCAGTTCAAAGACACTCCCTGTGGAACATAAACCTCTATTCTGCTAGCATTGGTTAGAACAGTGTCTTAGGTTCATGGAATGACTGTTATGGAATTTACTTGCATTTGATCAAAAGCCCTGTCAGCTCTCCACTGCCTACAGAGAGGACTCAAGTTCCACAGTCATCTGACCTGGGTCATCTGGGTCATCTGACCTGACTGCTCTTCTAGACCTTATCCCACCCCCGCCACACTTATCCCACCCTCCCACTACACTTATTTCACCCCCACCACCACACTAACAGCTGTACCAATTTCCGCTTTCCCCATATCCATGAAGAACAGGAAACAAATCACAGAGAGGTATGGAAGGATGTTGAGGCCAGAATACCTGGATGCCTCCACTAGGCTCAGCCTATTGCTTTTCCAGCTGGTTATCTTGCAAGTGACGTCATCGGCAAAACAGGGCTAGTCACAGTGGCTACCATCCCTTCTGGGAGTTGAAGAACACCTTGACGAGGAGCTGGCATCCAGGGCGTGCTATAAGCTTCAAGTTCTAGTTCTCTGCACATCTGCCTTCCCCAGGACACTCTCCAGCTCCCAGAGACGAATCTCCTCTCATTTGTGGTGTCTGTGGCATGACACCTGCTGGACACTGGGGACAATATAAAAAGAACCTGACGGATGGAAAGACCGCCGACTCAAGTGTAACATGACAGATGCTATGCTAGAGACAGAATCAAGTGCAGAGAACACAGGGCCAGTCAGAACTAATGGTCCGGAACCAACTGGGACAGCTTCCCGGACCTGAAACCTGGAAGGCCCTTGCCAAAACAAACAAACAAACAAAACAAAACAAAAATAAGGGCAAGCAGCTGAGTGGGTAACAGTAGGATGGGAGGCTGTCAATGAGGTTTTTATTAATCGTGCACTGGGGAGGCCAAGGCAGAAGGAGGGTAAGCTCAGGACCAACTTGGACTACATAGCAAGTTCACGGCCAGCCTGGGATACATATAAAGACCCTGACTCACAAAGTTTTTCTCTTAGTCATTGCTGTATGGAAATACTTCAGAGAAATAAAACTGAACTGGGCTAGTGTCTCCCCCAAATTCATATCCATCTGGAACCCATGAATGTGGCCTTACTGGGATGTAAGATCTTTGTAGGTGTAAAGATGAGGTCATACAGGATTCAGACACGGAGTGGACAGATATGCACACAGGGACTATGCCACATGAAGCGCTGGCTGGAGAGACATAGTTACAAGGGACATTCAGTGCTGTGGTGACCAGCAGCAACAGCATGGAAGGCATCTCGGTTTAGGCTTCTGGCATCTAGAGCTAAGATGGTACAGCTCACTCGTTTTAGGCTACATATACGCAGTCACCTGTCACGGCCATTTCTGTGTAGTCTGAACTAGCATACTTCAGTTGTTGCCCAGCTGCACCACGTGACCTGCCATGGAACGGACCTTTCTTGGGCTGCTCCGTAAAGCAGAGACTCAGGAAACCATTTCTGCAGCTTTGATTTGGTTTTATTTAACTCAGATATGCAAACCCGAGGACCAACTGCCGCCGTCACCCAGAGCTCACGCTTTACCGCACTTCGCCTCCACTCCTTTCAACAACTTCAGAAGCGCAGCTGGGTTGTAAGGAAAGAGATTTTTCTCTTGCAAACGGTAAATAGCACTCTGTAGCTCCTCCAGGCATTTCACTGCTCTAGAAAACAGTCCCACTTCCCAGACAGCCCCATTGGGAGCAACTTCCCCAGCAGCACAGAAGGGAGGACCAGACTCTTGAGGAAGCAGAGGCCTCAGCTGAGGCTCCAGGCTAAGTTCTTTTTGGTCCTTACATGTCCTAGGCAGGCCTTGAGTTTCTCTGCTCATTTCTGAACATAAAGAAGTCTGTTTGCTGTTTGCTAAATGCTGATTTGTGGCTTCCTCATCAGAATCTTCCGAGCTGTCATAATCTACCAGACTCCATGGTGTCTGGGAAGGTGGGCCATGAGCTGGCACTGTGTGAGTTTCCCTGGGCATCACCACCTGACTCTGGGGCTCAGAGCGGGCATCGGAAGCCCAGGGGACCCATGGGCAAGCATTTCTGTGGCCAACAGGAGAAGCCAGAGCATGAGGTACTGTGTGGCTGGTGCTTCTGTCGTGGACAAGTGGGGGGACAGGATCACGAGTATTTGCTCCACACTGTGATTCAGCTGCATCAAAGAACTTGCAGACGGACAGAAAGTGATGCCAGTCTTTTTGCAGCAATTTCAAATATTTAACAAAATATTCAAGGAAACAGGTTTCGGAGGAAATCAAGAAGTCTAGAAGAACTGTAGAGTCGAACACTATGTTCTTTAATAAGAACAAGAAAATACAGTGTGGATTACAGCCATTGCTATGAGTGGAGTGGGTCCATGCTTCATTTTCTTGAGTCAGGCTTCCAGAGGTGTCGTCCCTGCCTCTGCAAACACAGACAAGGGAGAGCTCAGGATGACGGGGCTTCACAGACACTAGCACTCACCCGCCAAATCACTTTAAGAGGAAATCAAAACCAAATCTGCTCAAGACCAACCAATTTCAGATTTTGTCTGCACAAGGGTCCTTTCCTTAACATCAGCAGCCTCTCTTCATGAGGGCAATTTATTCCATGTTTAAGGTGGGGCTCAAGACTGCCATATCAGGGTAGACATGTGACCCCAACTAACCAATCAGAACATGGCTTCACAATCTTATCTTCTCCGAGATATCTCTATGGCTAAGGAAAATTTCGACTTTAAGATTGATGAAAAGGAAGGGTGAAGCTTCTCGTGTTCTCATGGCCAGGCCTGAGAAGGAATCAGGCTGTTAGAACATAAGCAGGGGAAATAATGGCTGGCATGATTTGAATACATGGAATACACACACACACACACACACACACACACACACAGAGAGAGAGAAAGACAAAGACATACACACAGAAAGATACATACACAGACACACAAACACAAAAAGACATAGACAAACAGAAACACACAAATGCACACATACAAACAGTGCTATATCTGATGTCAGTTTGATGCCCTTGAAATTCTCAACTGGCTGGGTGGTGGGTCACACCTTTAATCCCAGCACTCAAGAGGCAGAGGCAGGTGGATTTCTGAGTTCGTGGCCAGCCTGGACTACAGAGTAAATTCCAGGACAGCCAGGGACACACAAAGAAACCCTGTCTTACAAAACAAAACAAAAAACTTTCAACCAGGCCTCAAAACATTCTATTTTTGCTTAAACCAGTTTGAATTGGTTTCTGTCATTTACAAACAAGAAAACCGTAACAGGATGGCTTTTTTTTATTATTTTATTTTTTATTTTGAACTCATGGCATAAAAATCTACCTCTCTGGACACAGTGACCTGAAGGGAGTGAGGCTCATGTAGAACAGATATAAGAAGGCAGTGCTGAGTGAAATCAACACATACTCTTGAATATATAGTCTAAATTTGTAGGAAAATCTCACTATCTTTGAGCCTAACTGAAATCACATGTAGGAATTCTGTTTCTCGAGTAGAACCTTTTGAAAACTGGCCCCAAACACTAAGCCATTGCCAGCTGGGTCCTAATGTAGCAAGCACAAGGAAGGCTGTGTCGCCAGTCATCAGTGAGACAGCCCTTCTCCCAGGCCAGGGGAGAGGGAAATGAAGCCAAGCAGACAGCATGGAAGGGGTCATTGGCTGTCAGCTTCAGAAGCCATTCCAGACACTGCTGCAGGTGTAAAGCAGAAACAGACCTGGGGCAGCAGCAGCATAGCAATGCACCTCCAGAGGGAGCAGCCTGGAGGAGTGGAGCATCGCAGCAATGCGCCTCCAGAGGGAGCAGCCTGGAGTGGAGCTGGGAGTGCACGTCTGGAGAGGCTCCGCTGGCTGCTTCCATTTGTATTCTCTTGACCAAGGCAAGGGTCACCAGCTAGAAGCTTAATTCAAACAAGCAAGTCTTGGAGGCTTTAAGAACATGGTTCTTAACCAGGAGCTGTGGTTCAGAGAGGGCACTGGCTTACCTTGACCCCCATAGGCAACACCAGAACCCAGGGGTTCTGATCTTGCTTTACTATCCCTGTGCTGCTTGCTTCTAAGGATAATACACATAGCATCCATTTTCATGTAAGGTGGAGTTAAACGGGAGGAAACCATAAATAGTTCTATCCAAGTAGAAAACAAAAATAATGCACCAGGCAGAAACACATTTTCTGACGTGCATGTCTCCTGATTCTCTGGCTTGTAGGCAGTCAAAAGTACTTGAAATACACAAACCTGGTCAACTGGAGGTAGATGCTCAGGGATGCTTTGGCAGCCTCCAGCATGTCATCGTCCTGCTCTATGAAGATCCTGGACAGCCATTCACACGGGTTGAGGAATTGTAGAGGGGGCTGAAGGTGAGGCTTTAAGAAGGTCAGTAACTCGGACATGAACTTCTGCAAGTCAACTTCAAACAACAGCGATTTCAAAGGGCAGGTAATGTTTACAAACACAAATAACATCTCGTCTGTATGCAAATCTGTCAGTGCACTATCGTAATCCACACCTTTGGGTCCTAGAGTCGGGATTAGCTTTTTCACAAATGAAGAACTGAGAATAGCAAGGTGACTCATGGAGGAACACTTGTTCAAGACATATAGTCAGGGTGTCCATCTGCCAAAAACTAGTCACAGTTTGTCTACGAAATAAATATGTGATTTCAATACGAAAGCATGTTAACTGAGTGGACAACAATAATCTCTTCATTGGCAAGCCCAGCTTTCTGCCAACTACAGACCGCTAAACCATAAAAAGAAATGGCTTCAAACACAACAGAAAAATCTTCCTTTTGCTTGATAAAGAACTAAAGTATGGCAAAAACCCAGACAGGACCTGGGGGTTTAACTGCAATGCAAACCTCTGAATTATGTAACAGATGCCACCTAGTGTCATAAACTGTAATTGCGCTAATGAGAACATCCTTGAAAATGATGTCTAGGAGAGCCCCAGAGGTCAAGGCGGCTAGCTGGAGACAGCCACTGTCTGCTCTCCTCTAGAGATGGAAGACACATCCTCTACAACACCCACACTGAAAGCCGCTCCTCCAGTCATGCTGAGCTTGTCACCCTCAAGTTATGTGCAACAAGTCCTTTACCAACAGAACTTTCCGTACTAGCTTCAACACAACTTCTCATTATCACTAACGAACATAGTCATAGAGCTTTTATGAATAATATTATTAAATGTCAACTGACTTATACTTGCTTGGTAGTGACTCAAAAGCAACTATTTTTGTATTCATTATTCTATGCATATTAATTATACAAAAAAGCTAAGAAGCTTCTTAAAATTCCAGTCCCCCACAACCCTGTTCCTTTTGAAAAAGTATTTAGTAAATTTAATCAGGAAAATATAAATAGATTAAGGAAATGGCACTCGCCTTAAACTCAATAATCACGAGTCACTTTTTTTAAGTGAACAATTAATTGCATAGTGCTCTGACTAAAAATGAGTCTGGAGAATTACCTTCCATTTCAGTTGCTGAGGTACAATTCTGGAACTTGATTTCCAAGGATTTCAAAGTAATTAAGCTTGCTGCTCTCAGGGTGACGTGATCAGGGCCAGGCCTGGGTCGGCATCCAGGTTGAACTTCGTCTCCTCCAAAGCAGGAAGGCTTTCCAGGAACAGACAACTCCTTCCACAACCCCAGATGTACCCTGTACAGAAGTTCCTCGGCTAAGGCCAGCACGTCACTGTCCTGAAGATAGTCTGGTGACACCAGGGCAGGCACTGATCCACGGCAGAGGTCCTCTCCCATTTTACCAAGGAGGCACTTTTTGATGACGATAACCAATTTCCTTTTAACAAAAGCTGGAATAGGCCAGGCAAGAATATCTAGAGCACGGGGTTTCAAAAATAGTATCTTTTGGCTTCGAAAGTGCAGTTTCAGGTGGATTCTGGAGGCTGTGAGAAGTTCCAGCAGCTCCAGGAAGCACACCAGGATGTTGACCACGTTAGCGAGATTCTGGAAGTTTCCAAAATGCTGAGAAAATAAGGAATTGTAGAACACTTCAAAAGTAATGTCAAAAGGAGCCAAGAGCTGTTCTAGGATTTCTGAAATTAGAAAAATAGTAGTTAGAAGAAACAGGAAACACAAAAGTTTTCTCTAAACACAATTTTACAATTCAATTGGCATGTACATCACTTTGTAAGATAAAAAAATAGGTTTAAGAACAATTACTTCTAATAAGACCACATGAAGGTACACAGATTAACAGCTAATCACAAAAAGTTAATGTTTGCTTTATAAATATGGATAGTATCAGACTATATAAGAAATATTTAATGACTAAGTTTTAATTTCTTTCTAAAAAGATAATCTTCAGTGCTGGGGAGATAGTTTATTTGGTAAAGTGCTTGCTGCATAAGCACGAGGTCCTGGATTAGGATCCCTGGCACCCATGCAGAAGCCAGACAAGGTGGCACACATCTGTAACCACATCTGGGGAGGTGGAGATGGAGCTCATTGGCCAGGCAGTCTTGCCCAGTTGATGAGCTCTAGAGTCAGTGAGGGATATTATCTCAGCAAACAAGGTGGAAAGCAGTTGAGGAAGACTCCTGACATTGCCTTCTGGCCTCCCGCACACACACACACACACGCACGCACGCATGCACACACACGCACACATATGCGCGCGCACACACGCTCGCACACACACGCGCACGTACACACACGCGCGGGCACACACGCACACACATGCACACACACACACGCACAGACACACACCACACTAAATACGTACACCACACACACCAAGGTTATGTCCAATTAAAAAATTCCGGGGAGCAATTCTCACATTCTTCCATACTTCCAGAGAGAAGGGGAATAGCATACATTTTATTCTTCACTTTAAACACACTGCTGCCGAGAGAGGGGATGAGCCTTAGGACAGTGCCATCTCTACCTGCTTGCTGGGACTGTGCATCTTTAAAGGCTTCTTTTATTACAACTGTGAGAATCCAAAGGCAGTGCACTGCTTCTCCACTCTCAGAGCATTCAGAGAGATGCTTCTGGCAAAAAGTGACCCAGGGATCACTTAACATCATCTATAAATGAGAAAACAAAAGGGTTGTTATAATTGTTTTGCTTATAAAATTAAAAATTACTTATTACACAACACAATACCACAAAATGTTGTTTACTTGTTTATGTGAAAAAAAGCATGAAAATACTTGACAAAACAAGGAAAAAATATTCTAATATTCTTTCAGGCAGGAAAGTAACACACCATGTAAGCCAAGGATCAAAAAGACCATGAAAAGATCCACATTGTTTATAATGGTGTAGCAATGTGCACGCCTTTCTTTAACACTATCCTACTTTCCAAATGTTCTACCATAAACAATATTCACATTCAAAGGACTACTTTAAAAACAAGCAGTGAGAGTGTGAAGTTAATAGGTCCTGGATCTGTGTCCACTCACAAGCCCCTGTGTAACCACATGTGGAAGTACACCAGGCAGCCAGAGGCCGAAGCCAGGTGTCCTGCTCAATCACTTTTCTCCTTATTGAGACAGGATCTTATTTTATTCTTATTTTTTGCTGTGATCCAGTTGCCCTCACTCCCCCTGACTGACAGAGGAACTTCCTTGTGGTCTGTAATTGACAAGAATGTTTCTGTTCTTTCTGGCTGGAGGTTTTCCACAGAAGCAGTAGAGGTATAAAAGGCTTTAGGTCAGAGAAAAATTAAGGTTGCTGTTCTTCCACCTGAAAGGAAGCCTCCATGTCTCAATCCTGGCACCCCTGCCAGTCTTGGCTATCCAGGCTGTGCTGACGCGGAAAAGTGGAGGTCCCATCGAGATCTGGAAAGTGGGATTTGAGAACGAGATTGCTCCGTCTGCTGGCTAAACCGAGGAGTGCATTGGGAAGGTAATTTTTTTCATCCCCAGAGATACTTACTCTGAGAGACACCCTCCAAAAGACTAGCAAGTATAAAGAGGTGTGAGGGTGAACTGTAGGCCTCAAAAAGTAACTGAAACTCTTAAAGCAACAAGGCACTGAAGTAACAAGACAGCCGAAGATTTTGTGCAAACAACAGCTCAAGTTAGCCCCTGATTTATTACGGGAGGGGGCTTAAATGTTAATAAGCCAAGTCAGAGTATTTGTTTCTTCATCCCCAGAGATACTCTGAGGGATGCCCTCCAGTGACTGGCCAGTAGGGAAGTAATAAAGAGGCAGGACGGTGAATTGAGGCCCTCAAAAGATAGAATGGGTACAGATGTATGTTATTGTGTTGATTGTGTTGTCTTTTGTGTCCTGGACTGGAGAAAGACATTTGATTCTGGGAACTGCTAAGACTTTAAAATATGGGCCTAATGATTTGATGCTTTGGAAAACAGGTTTTGCTTTTGTCTCCACAGAGGATGAGAACCTATAGATTCTTGCAAATTTATGCAGTTTGATTCACCAAGACCTCCTGAAATGTTGATGTAAAATACCCCCAAGAATGCAGCACCCCCCACTCAGCAGGAAATAGTCAAACAGGTTGACTATGCCCAAATTCCCTAAAAGATTGTTAAGGTCGGGCCCCTTCAATGGTTCTGGAGCAGGAGCAGCTAGCCTGCTTCCCTGAGTTCTGCTCCTCTTCGTACAGCAGTTTGGACCCAGAAAGAGTGCATCTGGGGCCAGAAGGCAGCTGGAGCAGAGCTTTGCTAGGCATGTTGCCCTGGCCCAGTTGGTGCCCAGCCTGGGGGATACCATGGCGGTGTCAGGAGTATCAGCAAATATGGCAAAATGTGCTGGACCATAAAAGATCGGCAGAAGAGAGACCTTGGAATCACTGCAGCTGTGATTGCCATTATTGCTATCTCTGCCATGGCAGATACTGCTGTCAGAGTTGCTCTTTCCCAGACTGTGCAGACAGCTGAGACTGTCAACTAAGTAGCTGAAAGAGTCAGCAATGCTTTGGATATTGACCTTAAACCAACAAGTGGCTCTGGTTTAGAAGCAAGACTGATCTTTGGACTTTTCAATGGCTAGCTCTTATCATGTTATGTACGTTACTCATGGCACTGTATTGCATGCTTCTGCTACTGTTATGGAACTCAACTGTCATATGAGAGGGGTTTGGAATACTACTTTTGTTAATTTTACCACCCAGTTAGTGCATGCTAGATGGTTGCAGCGCTGGTCTGGCTCGTTGGCAGTGTCAGTCCTGGAGATACTTGGTTTAGGGCTATGTGTCTGGGTAGCCACAGACAGGCAATACTTTGGGGGCAGGATGCCACCTATGATAGGGAATATTAGAGGGCTATTCCCCACAACAGACAAGATATTCCACCCAAAGTAACAATAAAATAAAATGGGGGGAGTTGTGATCCACCTGCCCTCACTCCCCAGACTGACAGCGGAACTTCCTTGTGGTCTATAATTGGCAAGAATGTTTGTGTTCTTTCTGGCCGGAGGTTTTCCACAGAAGCAGTAGAGGTATAAAAGGCTTTAAGTTAGGGAAAAATAAAGGTTGCTGTTCTTCCACCTGAAGAAGTCTCCATGTCTCAATCCCAACGCACATGCATGCACGCACGCACACGCAGACACGCAGACACACACACACACACAACCCGCCACCAATCTTGGCTATCCAGGCCACTCTGGTGCGGCAATTTTTGAATTTTCACATTATGGTAGGTGCAAATAGCTTACTAATTCAACTATTTGAAGGAGTAAAGTCAATGCTAACGAGCAACTTGAAAACTGAAAGAGAAATAACTATGCTCTGATTTACCGACCTTCTCTCTCAGCTGGAAATAGAGGAGCGATGAGAGGCACTTGGCAGCCATGTGAGACAACAACTTATCTGAGTTCTGGAGCATCCAGACCTGCAGCAAAACAGGCACAGTTCATCACACTGCTGACGCCTAAAAGCCTAGACACCGTATCCAAATCACTGAAAACGTGGCTTACCAATTTGGAATCGACTCCAGCTGACTGCAAAAGGGCTTTAGTCAGCTCTCTGTACCCCTTCTTTGCGTGGGCCTCAGTTTCAGTAGACAGCACTCGGCTCAGGAGCAGGTCAATCACTGTTAACTGAAGGAGTGCCACCTCCTGGGCCCTGCTCATCTGGAAGTCTCTCTTCGCACACTCCCGTGCTTCAGGAAAGGTGGTGGATTCACTGGAAGATGGTCTATGCTGGCCTGGCACACCATGAAGAGCATCATTAACAGCTGACTGTGCTAAAGAGGGGGCTGTATAGCCAGCTTGCTCTGAGAGGTTTGGGTTGAGATAAAAGATGTAACCATGGATGTCATCCTCAAGGGTGGCTCCAAGAAGTACTTTCTTATATAACTGGTCCAAAATTTCTTCAACATCTTCCATTTTGATTTCCAAAATGTATATGGTAAGAGGGTCAAAAGTCCCGAGGGGTAAATATTGAAGACTTAGAAATACAATGACTCTCTAAGATGTCCCCTCACTGAAGCCTGAAATAGAAAAAGTAACATGATTGTAAGTATTAAGCTGTATTACAAGTGAAAGAAAACTGTGTTCACTTAGTCTCAAGTTAGAGATAATGCTAGTTGCTGAGCTCAACCTCTGAGCTTCATCCCTATCCCTGTCTATCACTTGTTTTGAGATAGGGTCTGTAAGCTGCCTACCTTGATCTCACTCTGTAGCCTAGGGAGACCTTGAACTTGTGATCCTCCTGCCTCAGACAAGCGAGTCTCTAGGATTATGAGCCGGCATCACCAGCTTTCTTCTAAGAGTTCTAGGTGGCTGCCTCATTTCTCACTCTTGGCAACACTGAAAGTGGAGCCAGACTCCTCTGTATGGGGAGCAGCACCACTCTTTAATCTGTTAAACAACCCCCACCCCATCCCCACCCTACCCTGCCCAAACCCCTACCCTCTCCCAGCCAAATGCTCCCAGCATCATCCACCAGATTCTGATGACCAGAAATGTCTGCAGACACTGTCAGATGCCCCAGTTCAAAACCACAGGGATAAATCAAAATTTTTAAACTTCACTCTGATTTATAGATTAAAACCTGAAGTTACATTGCTATATGGCTATTAACTATTAAATTCCAACTTAAAATTATATATTGCATTAAATAACAATGATATTAGGATCCTAAGTCATCTCCTCTGTAACTAAGTAAAAACATTTTTTTTAAGTGCTATCCCAAGAAAGTCAAGAAGGGAAGGAAAAGCAACCCAAACGGAGCAGATTGTACTTGTAATTGAACAGAAATGTACACATTCGGGTTGTTCTAGAGTTCTCTGGCATGATGGAGACCAGGGGTGAGACATATGACACATTTAGGAACAGACATGGCTTTTAAAGCAGAAATAGGGGCAGCCAGTGAATGTCAGAGGAAGCATGCTGTCACTGGTATAAGCCAGTCAATGTCGGAGGAAGCATGCAGTCACTGGTATAAGCCAGTCAATGTCAGAGGAAGCATGCTGTCACTAGTATAAGCCAGTCAATGTCCGAGGAAGCATGCTGTCACTGGTATAAGCCAGTCAATGTCCGAGGAAGCATGCTGTCACTGGTATAAGCCAGTCAATGTCGGAGGAAGCATGCTGTCACTGGTATAAGCCAGTCAATGTCGGAGGAAGCATGCTGTCACTGGTATAAGCCAGTCAATGTCGGAGGAAGCATGCTGTCACTGGTATAAGCCAGTCAATGTCCGAGGAAGCATGCTGTCACTGGTATAAGCCAGTCAATGTCGGAGGAAGCATGCTGTCACTGGTATAAGCAAAACAGAGGACTCGACCTTCTTCCAGTGAAATGCTAGAGCCTCTGGGACTCTCATGGACCACCTTACTCCTCCTAAATATAGAGCTTAAAGCCACACACCGACTCCTTTGTTTGGACAAGCAAAGACTCCTCTCCTACTGGGGAAAAAGAAGCTTTGTGCTTCTTTCTGTAAACTCACTTGAATGCTCACATCCTCCACATAAATTCAGAGTTCTCTTACATTAAATGGGCTGTGACAGCTGCCTGATTCCCTCATCAATTCCTAAGTTTTTTAAAACCACAACAGTTTTACTCACATAGGCATTTTCCATGGATCCTGACTGTCCTCTGTAAAATTTTACTTTAATTTTATGTATATGGGTGCTTTGCCCGCATGTATATCTAGGTACCATGTGCATGAATGGTGCTCAGAGAGGTCAGAAGAGAATGCCCGATCCCCTGAAACTGAAGTTACAAATGGACGTCAGCTGCTATGGCGGCTTGAATGAGGATGGAATCTAAAGACTCTTATCTTTACTCGTATGCTTGGTCAGCAGTTGGTGGAACTGTCTGGGAAGAATTAGGAGGCATGGACTTACTGGAAGTGGTGTGTTATTAGGGGTGATCTCTGAGGTTTCAAAGTCCACGCCGTTGTCAGTTACAGCCTCCCCCCCACCCCCCACCCCCGGCTTGCAGATGGAATATAAAGTCTCAGCCATAGCTCCAGCGCCATGCCTGCTGCCATACTCTTCATCATGACAGCCACGGCTCTAACCCTTGGGAATCATGAGCACCCAAACTAAATGTTTGTTTATAAGTTGCCCTGGTCATAGTGTCTCTTCACAGCAACAGAAAAGTAACTAAGACACCTGCCGCGTGGATGCTGGGACTCAAACCCAGATCTTCTGGGTGAGCAGCTGGTGCTCATTACCACTGAGCCATTTCTCCAGGCCCTGTTGAGCCACCTCTGCAGCCCTTGACTTTGTCTTAGTAAAATATACTAGTTAACAAAACCCATGGACTCCCCTTCCCTACATAACTCAGGTCCAACTGCCCCAACTCGCTGAACTTCCCTCCTCACAGCAGAGCTTATGAGGGTGACCACTCATTCTGTGCCTCCCTTCCACAGCGTGGCCCACGCATAGGTCCTGACTTTCTCATCTTTTATGAAATCTGACATGTGTGGGTATTTGCCTGCAGGTATGTCTCTGCAGCACATGATATTTTTGCTCTTTTGTTTTCTTTTCTTTTTAGTTGGCTTGATTGATTGTTCTGCAGCAGTCTCACTGTGTGACCCTGGCTGGTGTGGAACTTGCTATGTAGCTCAGGCTAGTCTCACACTCACAGAGACACGGCTGCCATTCCTCCGGAGAGCTGGCATTTGAGGTATGTGCCACCCCCAGCTCAGCCTTTTACCACTTACTTCTTCCCTTCAGCACTTAGAGAATCTCGACCGTGGCCACCTCACAGACACAGTTTGGTTGTAGAGAACTAAAATAGAGCAGCTAAGTATTAACAAACCTATGGATTTTAAATGTACAAACAAAACTTTTGGTTAAGTCTTCTCTGAATGCTATTTTAAGATTGATTTATTTTCTATTTATGTGCACGTTAGTGTCTGCATGTGGAAATTTGCACCACAAAAACAACAGCCTCTAGAAGAGGGCATCAGCGCCTCTGGAGTGTAGTTATGAGTGACCAACATAGGGAATGGGAACTGAACTCAGGTCTACTGCAAGAGTAGCAAGCGTTCTTCACTTCCTAGGCACCTTCCCAGCCTCTGAACACTACTTGCAAGCTGTAAGGTGCATTTCATACAACTCAATAATCCAGACTTCCTAGCTCCCTTCCATGGGACAATGCTGAGCTTTCCTGTACTCACACAAGCAGCAATGGTGAAGAAATTCTGTAACTTCGGTATGCTAACACACAGCTAGCCAGAAAATAGCTGGGATGACAGTGTCATATCATCCCTTCTTTCTATGGCCATCCCTACCGAGAGGTTTCCTATTAGAGAACACTCTCCCAATTGGAATGGCCAGAATAAAATCAGCTATTAGCACAGTTTCCCAGTTACATGTCAGAAATTGACTTCTACATTCTACTTTAAAGTTGAAATCTCTTTTCAAAACAGGTTTCCTTTCTTAATATGACTAATACTTAGAATATTTAAGGCTTTAGTTATTATCATATGCTCATCTCTTGTCACTAAAATCCTCAGCAACGAATGTATTTTCATTCCAATTATTTATAGCAATAAAAATACTTAAAACAATATTTCTGTCACCTCAGATTTCCTAAGCAAGAGTAAAACCCCAACTTGGTCATTCTTCACTGCCATCACCTCACACCAGGGTGAAGTCAATGCCAGTGAGTAACAGTAGAGGGGGTGGCACCGCCTGTTTCCTGGCATGGTAAGACACAGGTTCCTTGGCAGAAGTGGATCCAAGAAATAAGACTAAAAGTTTGTCCATTTTAAATTAAGAAATACATACTCAGGGACAGTTACATAGTTATATGGCTACAGATAGCCTGGAGGGTAAAGGAATATTCCTAGTTACTTTTTCTATTGCTGTGATAACACACCACGATAAAGAAGACTTACGAAAGCCTTCATGTGGGTTTATAGTTCCAGGAGGGTAACAGCCCTTCACGGAAAGAAAGCTTGGCAGCAGGCAGCAGACATGACAGCGGGAGCAGAAGGGCTCACATCTTGAACCCCAAGCAGGAAGCAGAAAGAGCAAACTCAAAACAGCACGAGTCTTTAAACTCTCAGAGCTCGCTCCCAGTGACATACTTCCTCAACAAAGCTATGCCTCCTAAACCTACCCAAACTGTGGACCAAGTATCTGAGCATCTTATTGAATGGTGGACTCAACTCATCCAAAGCACCACTGGTGTTTGCTACTGGTGCCTACTGCCAAACCTTAAGGTAGAATTCAGTTCCTGGGTCCTAGGGTGGAAGGAGAGAACTGACTCCCACCAGCTGTTCTCTGACATCAATGCATGCATGCATACACACAAACAAATACTACAATACTAATACATATCTGGTCGGGCAGTAAAGCTTGGGAGTAGGGCATTTACTACGTGTGGGTGAGGTCCTGGGTTCAATCCTCAGCAACATAATAATAAATATTATAAATGTTTATAGTTTTTATTTATAATTTTACTTACAAATAAAAAAATAAGTATTTATAAATAAATATTCAGATGGTTGTTTTACAGCTGAAAATAACAAAACAAAACACAGACATCAAATACTCAGGGGACAGGCAAGAAACAACCGACTGAGAATAGTTAAGTGCTGGGATGCTTCTACTGGGGCTGGCACAAACCTTCAACTGCACTTTTGATTCACAGTAACCAAATACACACACGCTCCACAATAAATGTTTGTAGGCTGCCTGTTAAACTCCACCCCAGAAAAAAAAGTATTAAAGAAAAATCTGAAAAAGCAGACTAAGGAATCAACTGGCTGTACTATGTCCCTCAAGTGATTGCCCATGGGCTGGTTCACTGCAAACTGAAATGCCATGCTGGCCTGGAAAGACATGTGCCATTGAAAACCATGCCTGGTAAAATGTGGTCATAGCTGGCTGTCTACTATGGGGCCCTCTGTATGTGGTGATGCTTTGAAACACCTATACAGAGTCTAAAAGTGAAGCCACTACCATGGAAAAGAAATATTTGGAGATGTTTAAATAGGACATGATCATAAAGAAATTATTCCTTAGATGATGTTGACTGACAGCTGTTAAATTTTTCTGATGTAAAAAAAAATTATCCTTTTAGAAAAAGATGTAATAAAAAATATTTGGGATAAAGACCTTGGCCTCTTCCAAAAGTAAGGTACATAAAGCAAAAATTGATATGCTAGACTCCAACAAAATTAAAACATTTGCTTTCTAAAATATTCTATGTAGAAGCTGAAAGATTGCTGAGGGACAGAGCTGAGTGATAGAGTCCTTAGTCAACACGCGTGTGATTAGAGATTCAATCCCGGTAGAGGGAGGAGAAAAGAAAGAAAGAGAGAGAGGGAGGGAGGGAGGGAGGGAGGAAGGAAGGAGGGGGGGGGAGAGAGAGAGAGAGAGAGAGAGAGAGAGAGAGAGAAGGTAAGTTACAAAGAGTAACATTAAAACTCTCAACAATCATGAATGTTGTACACGGCTCTTCTTGGAAAGTCAGTTCTTCAAATGCACCCAGATGGCTTTGACAACTGCAGACTGACTCAAAGACACTGACACTGGGTGTTAGCAGATCTGTAGAACCAGAACCAGATCCCTAGCAGCCTCGCCTCCCCCGCAAATGGGATCAGACATTTGCTGGTGCTTACCTGTCTTGGAATTTGCAGAAGCTAGAGGAACAAATTGGTTTAGACACAGAAAGGAGGCCACAGAAGCAGGCTGATTTTGTAGCTGAAGACAACACTGCACAGAGCTGTTGCAAGGCACAGAAGGGTCCCCCGTGGAGGCTGCCTAATCATGAGTGTAGAGCTGGGATTTGCTGCCTTGCTAGGGAACTGCCTGAAGATCACCATGGAGGGCACTGTCCTTTTTGTGTCCACAGCAGTCACCCTGGAATCCCTTCACTGACTCACTTGTGCTGGGCTCTGGAGGACAGAACAGAAAAACAAGCCAACTGTGATGCAGAAGAGAAGAGCAAGGCAGATGGCTGATTTTTATGTTGAAGACAATCCCAGGGAATCCCATGTAGGTGCCAAAGAGGCTTATTCTGCATATTTAAAAACCAAGGGTGCAAGCTGACCAGAAAAGGGGATTATCCCTGAGCAAGCAGTTTCAGGAAGCATTGAAGAAGCCCCCTGGAGGACAGCAGCACACCAATCCCTCTTTCCTGACCAGCATGGGTGTCACCCATAGCCATTTCACCTCTTAAGTGAGTCACTGAAAGCGTGCATTAAATGGATTAAAAACTTTGGCTTTGGTATGCATCTCCCAACTGCATTTAGGTCAATAATTACAGAAAAACGACATCCAAGGTGAGGTAGTGTCTCCAAAAATAGCTGAGCCCTATATAAGCTAGCGCTGTCATTTTTAAGTGTCCTTTCTACTCAGCTACACAACAGGAAACAAACAAAAACATAAAAGAACAACAAAAATAACTATAAAGAACACCAGCTCTCAGAATAGCTGCAGTAACACCCAGAGACACCAAATGCTGGCAAAGATGTGCAGAAATGAGATCTCGGTCAAACAGCTACTCTGCAAATTAATCTGGCAGTTTCTTAAAAAGCTGAACATCTAGTCACCAGATGACCCAGCAACTGGGAAACTGGCACTCATGCCAGAAAAATAAACCATTCACACAAAACCTTGTACAAGATGTCCTTCACGGGGTGCGTGGTTAAACAAAGTGCTGCCAACACACCGTGAAATAAATACTTTTCATCATCAACAACAAAAACCCTATTGCTACATGAGATGACTTAGACGACTCTCAAAGGGACTGTGCTGAGGGGAAAAAGGCAATCCTAGAGGCTGCACATTGTTTCTGTTCCTGAAGAGCAAACGGCAACTTAATACAGAAGGAAGTCTGCCTGTCGCTGGCTCAGGGCCCCATCTCCTTGGTAGGCAGGGCTATAATGGACAACAGGAGTGCAGTGCTGAAAAATGGACAGGGGAAGATGAAACTCTATGTGACAAAATCACCCAGAACTAAGCACACATTCAAATAAATACATACAGATAAAGAGAGGAGTCTGGCAGAGGTTGATGTGCTGTGTCAAGATCCTGGCAAGACCGTGTCAATCAAGATCCTGGGCTGTGTTGAGCAGGAGGAATTCAGGAAAAAGGTTACACTGTCTCACTGCATTTTCTTCAAACTGCTTGGGATTCTACAATGACCACAAAGCATAAGAAGTATATTTAGCCAGGTAATGTAGGACCCAGCCCTGACAAGCTCAAAAGAGGCCTGAGTCTCAGTAGTTTACCCTGAGGCAATACCTGGTTCCGATAAAGATCATAAACTGAGACCACCCAGGTACCACTCAGGAACAGACCATCCAAAGGAAATTCCTAATGTTCCAACCACTGTAGATAGGATTAGCTGCCAACACACACCAATTGCTTTTCACCAAGACACCCCTAGACAAATGTCAGTCAATCAGGGGTCCTGAACCTTAGAAATCCCTCACACCCACCTTTATTACTATAAAAACCCAACTCTTAACTGAGCTCAGCGCTCTCTGATTATTCCAATACATTAGACACATGTTGAGTCTGAGTTTGCAAACTTGTGTAAAAATAAATTGCTTTTACATACAGGACTCGGTCTCCTATTTGGTTTTTTTTTGGGGGGGGGGGGGTCCATGATCATAACAGTGCAAGCAAACAAAATAAACCCCTTCCAAAATTTTTAGGCTATAGATAGAACTTTGAAGTCTTTGTTAGAAAATGTGATTTCTCATCACTTAACTTCAGAATGATCAAAACTGCCCCTATTTCTAGTTCCATGGCCAATATTACTAAAAGTAAAACACTGACTCTCCTTTCACAAATTTACTAATTTGCCAAGCAATTCAGGATTACACCTCAGCTTAAGTCAACAATGGCCCAATTTTTTTTTAATTGAGAAAAGTAAAAAAAAACAAGTTTCCGCCTCCTCCCAGCCTCCCATTTCCCTCCCCCTCCTCCTACCCTTCTCCCCCTCCTCCCACCCTTCTCCCCCTCCCCTTACTCCTCTCCCCCTCCCTCTCCAGTCCAAAGAGCAGTCAGGGTTCCCTGCCCTGTGGTAAATCCAAGGTCCTCCCCACTCAGTCCATATCTAGGAAGGTGAACATCCAAACTGGCTAGGCTCCCACAAAGCCAGCACATTACGTAGGTTCAAAACCCCGTGCCATTGTCCTTGGCTTCTCATCAGCCCTCATTGTTCGCCATGTTCAGAAAGTCCGGTTTTATCCCATGCTTTTTCAGTCACAGTCCAGCTGGCCTTGGTGAGCTCCCAATAGATCAGCTCCATTGCCTCAGTGGGTGGGTGCACCCCTCATGGTCCCGACTTCTTTGCTCATGTTCTCCCTCCTTCTGCTCCTCATTGGGACCTTGGGAGCTCAGTCCAGTGCTCCAGTGTGGGTCTCTGTCTCTATCTCCATCCATCACCAGATGAAGGTTCTAATGGTGATATGCAAGATATTCATCAGTATTGCTCTAGGATAGGGTCATTTCAGGTTCCCTATCCTCAGCTGCCCAAGGAACTAACTGGGGACATCGCCTTGGGCTCCTGGGAGCCACTCTAGGTTCAAGTCTCTTGCCAACCCTAAGGTGGCTCCCTTAACTAAGAATTGTGCTTCCGTGCTCCCCTATCCAACCTTCCTTTATCCCAATCATCCTTTTTCCCCAAGTTCCCCCCTACAATTGGTGAACCTAAAGAAGCTAAGTAAGAAGGTGAACCCAAGGAAAAACATATAGTTATCCTCTTGGTTATGGGAAGTAGACAAAATTGCCGGGGAGAAAATAGGGATCTTGGGGGTGGGGTGGGATGGGGGGAAGGGGAGATGGTGAGAGAAAAACAATGGCCCAATTTTAACCACAGCCCAAGTAGCTACATAGTTCAGATACTGTCTATGACACTCAACACAGACGCTGAAGCACTCAGAGCAAAGGCTGTCCTGTAGGATTCTGGTTCTGTCCCCATTGAGACATTATAAACTGTGGGGTAACAAGCAGGCTGAGTGGCACATAGGAATGACTTATCAAAATTAAGCAGGCCCAGCCCAGAGTGAACATCAACCAATCGGAACTGCCCTCATTTACCACACTCTACCATCTTGGGGCAGACAGTTCTGTCCTTGTCCAGTCCACTGCTCCCTTGAAGGATTTGTAAGGTTATCGTTTCTACTCTGATATGGATTGGTGAATTATTTTTACCACAAAGGAATCTGACCCATATCATATTTGTCTCCATGGATTCTGGGGTACATCAAATGCCTGCTTCCGTTCTTCATGATCCTAGGTAAGCTACATATGTGCTTGGAGACAACTGACAGCCTCTACCTGGGGCAGCTCCCCAGTAGGACCAGGTTTCCACGCTCCAAGGCATGTTCATCTTTGTCCTCTGGGAGTTTCTCTGTCTCAGGACGCTTGAACAATTCCACTAAAAATGAGGAGAGCTAAAAGATTCCTGGCTAGGTAGGACCAGGCCCTTGTGGAACAAAGGCTTCCCTTCTCTCCAGTCCTCCAGTGGCAAGATACCAGAGTTGTCTTACACTTTTCAACAGAAGGGCCCACCTGCCGTGGTATCTGACAGACCCCAACTAAGGACAACTCTGGTGGGATCTGAAGGCTTGGGGTCATCAGCCTAGTCTGTAAGGAAGAAAGGACTGTTTTCTGCTCCTCCTCCCTCTGTGTGCCCAGTGCTCAGTGCAGCAGACCATGACAGCTTTCCCTGAGTGAATCCACATACACTGTGGGCAATACTTCTCAGGCCCTATGGCTTTTCTTTCCTTCCTTTCTGGCTGTCTTTCCTGAGAATGATTCCATTCATCCGATGATTCCCCATGACATCAGACTGTAGAACCTGGACTGTGAACCCATGTCTCTGACCTTTTAACTGCTGGCAGTGCTAAGACATTCTTTTACTACATTAAATGCCCTCTTTGACATCTGTACCTCAAGTCTCTTGTAGACATCTTCTCAGGAAGTCCTAAAATAAGGAGAGCTATCCCTTGTTGTTAGTGTGGGGAACTGATCTCCCCAGAGTAATGGTTTAAGTAAAATGCTGCAGGTTCCCAAGTGGTGGCAGTGGGCAGCAGGACATGAGACCATGCGGCAGGTCCCCAAGCGAGTGGGTCCTGAGACCACAGCAAGTCACGAAGGCAGCCAGGTCCCAGGCAGGAAGCCGCATGGTGGGTGAGAGATTGAGATGAATAGGCACACCATGTAAAGTGAAGTTAGATATTTATTTAGTGGGTTATGGAAGGGAAGGGGAGAAGGGGAAAAGCGGAGAGAGAGGGAGAGTGGGAGAGGGAGAAAGAAACAAAGAGGGAGGAAGGGGAGAGGTGGGGAGAAGGGAGAGACAGAAGTTGCCTCTGAGAGAGAGAGAAGGGGGGGAGGGGACTCAGGCTGGAAGCTGAAGATCAGCTTGCCTAATAGGACAGGGTTGGGTGTGGGTGTGGCTTGTCTCTTAAAGAGACAGGACAGACCATTACATCTAGTCATGAGACAGTCACCTTCTTCAAACCAGACTCACCATTGGGGATGGTGTGTACAACTGTCTCATGGCTTGGCCCTGAGACAGAGGCATGGCTCCTAATCAGTACCCTCAACTGCAATCTAATCTCCAGTTTGCTCTGTTCTCTTAACATTTGAAAATGATTTCATGTTCACCTGAGCCATGTTATCATGTCCCCTTCCCCCAGCTCCAAATCTGCAAGGAACCTACTGTGGGTGTTGGCCAGGTTCTTGGGGTCTTCAGGAGGGCAGGAGTTGTCCCACCTCATCCTACCAACCACTATCCACACCCACCTTCTCAATAGAGCTCCCCCACATCCTGAGGCGTTGCCACCCTCTCCCTCACCTGTTTGCAGAAAACCTTCAGGGAACAAATACCTCCCGCTGGACAGAATAGGCCTAATATCCCTTTGGTGAGGGGCCAACAGAGAACTGGAAACCATCAGAGTCCATGTTCTCTTTCCCATACCTGTCTCTACCCACATAGAAACTGAACAGCTCTTTTAATCAAGACCCCTTCATTCATTAAAGAACTTCATAACATATATAAACTGTCTCCTTGACTTAGTTAGGGTTTCTATTGCTATGAAAAGATACCATGACCACAGCAACTTTTAAAAAGAAAGCATTTAATTAGGACAGCTCACTTATAGTTTCAGAGGTTCAGTTCAGTATCATCATGGTGGGGAGCATGGCAGTGTGCAGGCGGACATGGTGCTGGATACATCTTAATCAGAAGGCAACAAAAAGTGGTTGTGATACTGAGCAAAGCTTAAACAAAAGAGACTTCAAAGCCCACCCCCAAGTGACACACTTCCTCCAACAAGGCCACAACTTCTTCAACAAGGCTATACTTCCCAATAGTGCCACTCCTTATGAGTTTATGGGTTTTATGGTAAAAGTAAAATGGCGCCATTCCCCGAGTGGCCCATGGGCCACAAGTGGCAGGGAGCCACATGGCAGTTGAGAGCCACTCGGCAGGTAAGAGACAGAAACCTATTAGTCATGCCACGCCAAGAAAGTGGGTATTTATTTAGTGTGTTATGGAAGGGAAAGGGGGTGAGAGGAAAAGGGGGGAGAGCAGAGAGAGAGGCAAAGAGAGAGGTGGGGAGAGGAGAGGAGCCACAGTAGCAACTAAAGAGACAGAGAAGGAAAGGAAAGGAACTCAGGCTGGAAGCAGAAGAAAGATCTGCTTGCCCCAGTGGAGGGGAGGTGGGGGAGTAGGCGGGGCTTGTTTCTTAAAGGGATAAGGACAGACCATTACTATGGAGGCCAAATACATTCAAACGATCACACTCCTATACATGAGTAATTTGGTTACAAGCCAAGAAATGGGTCAGTGAGGCTCATGCCTATAACCCCTGTGCACTGGTTAGATTTTTCTGTCAACTCGACACAAGCTAGAGTCATGTAGAAAAAGGGAATTTCAATTAGTATCATGCCTCTATAAAGAAGGCCTGTACCAAGTCTACAGGGTATTATCTTGATTAATGATTGCCGTGGGAGGGCCCAGTCCAGTATGGGTGATGTCATCCTGGGAAAGTGAACCGGAGGTAAAAAAGAAAGCAGTTTAGCTGCCCATGGAAGATAAGCCAGGAAATGCATTCCTCTGAGGTCTCTGCTTCAATTCCTACCTCCAGGATCCTGTCCTGACAGACTACCAGATACAAGTCTAAAATAAACTTTCCTCCCCAACCTGCTTATGGTCATGGTGTTTATCACAGCCATAGGAACCAGACTAAGATGGTTCCCAGGAGGGCTTCCTCCTGGGAAAAACACAATTTCCAACAGACCCTGGGTTAACTTACCCAGATAAGGCTCTAGATGGGGGAGTCATAATCACCTGTGCCCATGGTTGGCAGAAGAGATGAAAAGGACCACAAGGAAACCTACGAATTAAATCAAATTGAGAGAAGTGAAAGAGGCCCAGTGAGGAACCAGCTTCGCTTCATTCCGGAGTGGCCATGAGTACACACACACTAACCTGGATGGAGGAAGTCCCACAGGCTTTGCCAGCCTCAAGGCCCATTTCATCAACCAAACTTCCTTAAATATCAGACAAAACTTTAGAATCTAGACAGACCCAAATTCCCTTGACCCACTTTACAAGATATATATAGCTCTTTAAGATATTCACTGATGGGGGGAGGCCTCAAGGACCAAGAAGAAAAGGCAGTGTGACAATCAACAGGCCCAGCACATAAGAGTAGTCATAGACCATGCCTATGCCAGAGCAGCCCTAGGTACCTTCCCCATATGGTCCCATCCTGTATGCTAAAGCCCAAGCTGATTAAAACTTTCCTAATTTACAAGAACCCTCACTGGGTTGTTACAACTGCTGCCAAGTAGGACACATCATTCACTGTCAAAATCCATGTGCCCACCACCTTGCCCATAACTGGAACTGTAGGACACTGAGAAAGGGGTTGCCCCTGCCTGGTTCAGGAGGGGGCCCATCTCAACAACAGAAGGCCACAGGGCTCTATGGCCAGAAGGACTGACAGTGACTTTTGATTCTGTTTCTTTGTTATAAGGCCACTGTGGAAAGGAGCCATCTTCAGCTTGACCACTAAGAGCCCAGAGGCTGTACAGACTCCCAGGATTTCCCATCTCTATGGAAGAGCCTTGAACAACAGTTTTGTTCTTAGGAGCTGGAACCAGGGGGATGGCAGCATCTAATACAAACTTGATCCTTCCTGGCTAGCTCTGTCATTGCAATTGTCCAAGGGCTATCTGTTTCTAACGCACCACAGACTTAGACTGGCATTAGAAAAGTTTTGAGCCGGAATACAGCTCAGTGGTGGGGCATGCGTCTAGTATGTGTGAGCTCCTGGGTTCTAGTCCAGAACCACCACCAATGCCTCTCAATTTAGTACTAGAAGAATCTCAAATATGATATAGGCAATATTCTCAAATCCGAGCATCAGAATTCCCCAGAAGACTAGCTAGAACATGGGCAACATGCTCACCCTCGACCCCAGAATCTGATTTTGTGGGTCTGGGAAGGTTCAAGAATTGAATCAAAGATGACACTAAAATTTTATGCTCAAGCTTTAATTTATTGATGAAAAAGCTGAGTTCCCTGGTTTCATATCAAACTGTGCTAAGCATTTTCTAAAAATGGAACATCTTATTAAAATTAAAAGTGATGGTTTTCTACTCTTAGTTACTCATGATTAAGTTTCAAAAATCAATCTTCCATGGGAAAGATTCACTGTTCTTTCTCACCCCACATCTTCTTAACTGTCCCTCATTTCAGCATCCTGTTTGCTGGGCCAGTGTGATTTCTCCACTCACCCCCACCCCTCTTTCTACCAGGTATAGCTGGATTAAGGCTACAAAGATGTCACTGGGTGACATCTGGTCCACTGTGGTCCTATTCATAATTGCCAGATCCCTACACAGTTCCATCCAGAATGGTACCCATCATTCAGAGCACAAGCTACTATTTTTCTCTACTACCAACTGCTTTAGAGACTATACATGGCTTAAGGGGCAGTGTCCTACATAGACAACATAAATTATTAGGAAAAATTTCCAAGCCCCAGATTCTAGAGAGTAACCAAATTATAGTTGCTACATTTAGGGTTGGAAATTCCTCCAATAAATCACTGTTTAAGAACTGAGTATTTAACCACTGAAAACAAAAAATAAACAAACAAACAAAAACATGTTGTTTTATAAAAGATCCACTAGTTAATATTCTTTTATGATGAACCAAACACTACACACACATAGGTGTGCACAAAGATTCATGTGTGTGTGCCACATGTTCAGGAGCCCGCGGAGGCCAGAAGAGAACATCAGATCTCATGAAGCTGGCATTACAGGTGGTTGTAAAGCATCTAAAGTGGGTGAGAAACTGAACTCAGGCCCTTTGCCAAGCACTGTATGCACTTGAGAAGTCGGATTTCTGAGGTGCACTGGCCAGCCAGCCAAACTGGTGAGCTCCAAGCCATTAAGGATCTTGACTCAAATGAGGCTGATGGTGTTTCTGACACCCAAGGTTGTTCTGTGGCATCCATTCAAACAAGCACATGTATAAACCCACAACTCCCCCCCCCCCCACACACACACACCAACAAACTGGCTTCTGCAGGCCAGGGAGTAGTCAAACAAATCTGGTTAATTCCTGTGACTGCTTCTTCAAGGACAGAAAGCCCATCATTAAGATAAAGGTAAGGTTTTTCCTGAGGTTTCTCAGGACAAGGAAGAACAGCCCAGGTTTCCTTCAGCAGGAACTGTGAACTTCAGTGGACTCGTGGCTTATCTGGTGAAAGAAGACCCTGGGGTTGTCTCTCTTCTCTAGCCAATAGTTCACAGGAAGAACAATGTCTGACTTGGCTGCAGCATCCAAGTGCTGCCCTCAGTGAAGTCATTGCTTAAAAACAAATTTAAGAATATGTAACCTTGTTTAAAGTGGCTTTCAGTAGTAACAGACAAGTGGGGTCAGAACAATCAAGAAACAAGGTTTTAAGGCAACAATGAAATGAACCAGAGAAACAGGAAAACCAGTTTATTACTAAGGGTGTAGAGGCCTGGCTACCACACCTGCATCAAGAAAGGCTACCTACGAAGGAGCGTCGCTCCTCACACGTCCCTGGACTGCAAGGTTCTTAAGAGCAGGTGTCTTCTGACAACTGTGGATGACAGAAGGAACAAAACTGCTTCCTCCTGTGAAAAGCCATAAGAGTCTAGGCTGGGGCGTGGGCTCAGAGGTATACACACTCGGTGCTTTACAGAGGACCTGAGTTCTGTCCCCAGAACCCACAGTGGCTCACTCACTGCCCTCTGTAGCTGCAGTTCCAGGGGATCTGATACCCTCTTCTGGCCTCCTCAGCACCAGCACACATGTGGTGCACAGACACGCATAAAACAGAAAGAAATACATCTTAAAAGGAAAAGAGCAACACTGAAACCCCTAACTGCCTACTTCACATCAAAGTGAAAAAACACCCCAGAGGAGTGGCTTCCACAGCAGGGAGGTCAAAGTGCACCCAGGAAGGATGTCTGCCTTGCTGCATTCAGGACTCATTCAGTTACTTTGGTAGGATTATTTAAGAACTGGGCCTAACATGATCCCTTATAAGGATATTACACTTAAAAAAAAAAGGTAGGGCTTACTACTAGGAGCTAGAAAGACCAATCATTAAGTTTTATTTTGAAATAAATACATGCAGTTATTGTATAATGTCAAAAAAAATCTTGGAAGTTTTAAAACACAGTAAATAATCAACATTAAGTCAGCCTCTGATCTCCATATGCAATCATATATACACACAAAATAAATGTAAAGTTTTTAAATTGAAAACAATCATGCTATATTAAGATAAAATCATGAAATTAAATCAGGGTTTCTTGTTGAAATACACTTACTATGTTTATATTTTGAGAATATTTGTAGTCTGATTTTAGGGGTAAGAATCTTTGTAATGTGTTTATATGCAATCACTGCCCTATCTTCAAATAAAAAGAATGGCACACAGGTATTTGTATAGCTGCTTAACTGGGAATATGCATGGAATTGGCTAATTTAAATTCACTTCTTGTACAGAGTACTAATATTTTCCAATTTGTAACAGTTAACCCTCTGTCATCTTCTAACTATTTCTAAAACAAACAACAGTGTAAGGCTACCTAGCAGGTGTGAGTCCCTGGGTTGGATCCCCAACACTGCAATAAAAGCAACCAAAGAGAAAGCAAGCTCCACCTGCTCCAAAGCTGTGTGAGCTGAACTGCCTTCAAGTCACAGAATTATAATTTAAAAATTAGAAAATCTGATAGCCGAGGTCAATGACGAACTCTGGGTTCTCCACTAGCATAACCTGCAAAATTCTGGCTATCTGATGTTCTTCCTGTTATCTCTATATCGTTTGTAAAAATTGTTGCAACTCAGCTGTGGGATTTTAACAGGAAGATGGCTGAAAGCCAAGCAGAGAGAGCACAGTGACCCTCACAGGCTGCTGCCAGACCTCCCTGTCTCTGAAGCAGCAGCGGCATCTGGCCCGAGCTCTGCCACTGTGCTCTGTACGGTAGTGGCTTCTCCCTACATCACACACCGAATCCACTTCTCTCCTCCTCTCCTGCCTGATGCTATCCTTAGCAAATGTTCTAAAAACTAACTTGGAAAGTACATCCGAACTATAAAAACTTTAACAAATGTAGAGATCTAATAGATTTTTACCCATGATTCACAAATTAGGTAACATTTCATTTACTGATTGTTCTCTTCTTCTCTTCCTTTTTTTCCCCCTGTAATGCTCAGGATTAAGCCCAATGCCTTGCACATGCTAGGTAAGTACTCTACCCCGAGTCAAACTCAAAACATCATATAAACATACAGAACAGGCATTCTAAGGACCTGTGCTCCACAGGAAGAAAAACAAAAGCAAAGTACAAAAGATGCTCACTTCTGAGCCACTTTCTTTCTTCCAAGCTGGCTCAAGTACAGTGGATTTCAGTGAGTCACTGTTGTACACCTTGAACTTTTTATTTTTATCATTATTAAAAAAAAACTGGCTTATTTCAAAGTTCAATTTAGTTACCAGTACTTAGTACCAAAGACTCGTATGGTTTGGTCTAGTGGGCTGGTTAGGCCTGGTGCAAAAGCAAAGGCCTCCAGCAGGTTTCTTTCACACGACCATAAAATTGTAGCAAGCCATTGTGAGCAAATCTTAAAAGCTCTGGGCTAGATTATTTCTTGTAATTCTCAAATCCCGTAACCCCGAGAGCACTGGAGACTTCACGCAGGGCCTTATGTACAATCACTTTCAGACAAAGCCTAGGCTGATTTGTAAGCTTGTTCGTGTTTTAAATGCACTGAAAGGTAAAGGAGTTTGGCTAAAGCCAAAGTGTTCGGGTCTCCAAACTGTCTGAGACACTCCTTTGTTTTTACAGTACATCACTGCAGGGCAAAAAGATGGCATGCCACCAAACAGTCTTTGATAGAACTGGTTTCTATTTATATGTCAGGCATCCATTTTAAGCAGAAATGTCAGTGTTTGAAATTACAGCAAGCTGATTGATTGACAGGGAGCACCAAGGATAAAATTGAGGATTAACAGGCTTTGGAAAATATGTGGAATCCTTCAAAATAGTTTGTGTCCCTGCTGCTGCTGCTGTTTGTTTGTTGCTGGGATTCTGAAGCTGCTTGCGAAGTGGCACATAGTCCGAGGAGTAAGCTGCTGCACAGCTGCGGGCTCTACAGACATTTGGTCTAAATTAATAGCCAGAAAGAGATTGAAAATGTCCCGTCTGACAACCTGGTTCTTACGGAAACAAAATGACACATTTTCTAATCTAATTAAGCAGTTATTAAAGATGTCCCCTTCTGGGCTGGCAAGACGGCTCGGCAGACAAAAGAGCTTGCTGCCAAGCCTGATAACCTGAGTGTGATCCTTGGAACCCACATAGAGCACAGGGAGAACATCCTCCACACATAACACTGTGGTACATGTACATCCCACACAAACACACACAATAAAATAAGTGTAAAAAATAACTAAAGATGTTCTGAGAACTTGTATTCTCTGAGAAGCTTTATATTGAAGGAGGGAAAGAAACCTGTGGGGCTCACTAAGGGCAACAGTAACTTAATCGTTAGCGCATACTGGTCATACGCCCTGATGCCTGGGATGCAACCTTAAAAACAAAGGCCTCTACTACTCGTCCCTATTATTTTCATACAAACTTAAAATTTTATCAATAGGTCTCCTGGCCAAGGGGACAGAGTCTCTAAAGGGAATGTAGGCCTACGTTCACATAGGTAACAACTGTCCATTTTTCCATTAAAAAAAAAATAAAAAAAGGCTGCCTTTTCTAAAAGCACACTGGCTTTTGGTAAGGCAGTCTGTAAAGGAGCTCCTTCTCCATCACCCTCTCCGGATCCTCTTCCTCTCCTGGTCTCCTGTCAGGACCCCTCAGAGCACAGCCCTCCCCACCCCCTCTCTCAGAATAATTCCATGAACTTCTATGTCTTCATTTTTACTTCTGCAAGTGAGAGGTTAGTGCCTTTCTGGGCTGTGCACAGAAACTCCTTGAAGTACCATGGGGCTGCATTCCAGCAAACACACCAGAAGCAGAAAACCCACTTATAACCTAACTTACTGACCATGTCTAGCATACTCAGATGGGCCAACTTCATCTAATACAAAGCACTTTATAATGGAGTCCTTTAAGTGGTGTGCCACGGGAGAAACCATAGCTGTCTGTGTATAGGATGCTCAGGGAAGCCTACTACAGATATGAGGGGATGTGAAAACACAATAACCAACAGATACAGGAAACTCTAGAGCATTGGCAGTTTTCCCTGGTGACAGTGCAGCTACCTGGGAGCCATGGCTAGCCACCACTGCCCAGCATCTTATCGGACTGGCTATCTTAACTCCAAGAAAAAATTTACAAAACGTGACGTTAGGCTTCCATTGACTGCTAACAGTGAGCCTGTGTTTAAGTGCTCACACGCCTCCTGCAGAACTCCACTTGGAGATGCCACAGGTACTCTGACCACAGACGCGACTCATTCCATGCCCTTCACGCTCACTTTTCTCTCTACTCCTCCTCAGCTGGGTGTATGGAGTCCGCAGCAGCTACGTACGGAGGCTGGAAGCCTTGCATTTTGGAAGCCTTCCTTACTCCACTTCCCCTGTCCACACTGCCACTGCTTCAGTCAACCACTTCTACCCTACACAGCCCAGGGATTCGTTCCTAAGATGTTTTATCTTGGCTCACCCGGCATCCATCCACACACTGAAGAATCAATTTTGCTTAGGATAATGTCCCAAACTCCAAAACCACATGGCCTAGCAGGGCCCTTAAGACCTGCCTATTTGGGTCTCTTTACTTCTGGGCCCACAAACTAATTTGTAAAGTTTTCCTGAGGTCCCCAAAGACTCTACAATTGGAAAATACCCAGGCTTTCACTAACCCCCTTTCTGATGAAAGCATGTTCCGCAGTCTCTCATCTACTCTCCGTCCCTAGAAACATTGTATATACTCAAGTCAAGGCTCCTTGTCAAAACCACAGTATTTACTTCACTGTATTGTCCTCTGATGTTTTCAGTTTTGGTCCGTCCCCCCACTCCTCATCCCTGTCTATGACCTTTGCTGGGAATGAATGAATCTAGTTCATAGGTAACTCCTATGGAAGACATAGGGGTTTTGAATAAATGAGTAACAGCCTAGAAGAAAAGAACCAAAGGCAAATTGAACACTTTGACTCCCACCTGCTGCAAAATATCTCAATAAATGCAACAACGTCTGCAGTAATCCAGTTCCCCATAACAGCTTTCTCTATGGAGTGAGCCTTGCAAAACATAAAGAGACCATAATCCTTCCGGCATGACCTACAAAGTCCTGCAAAATCTGCAGCCTGTCCACACCCCCTAATCCCATTTCCGTCTTTCTCCCCTTTATTCTGCTTCGGCCACAGGCTTTCCTTCCATACTTCTAAATAGTAAAGCTTATTCTAGTTCCAAAGGCTTTGTGTTTCTGGTTAGCTCTGCCTGCAAAGGACTTCCCTCAGGTTTTTATTGGACTAGTTTTTTTTTTTCCCCCGTTCAAGTTGCACAAATGTCATTCTTTGGGAGACATCTTCTGCCAATCTGAAAGAGCCCATCACAACCTAGTCAAACTGAATTCCATTACTTTGTGTGGTTTTTTTTTTCCTAGTCATTTTGCGGTTTCATCTTTTCTTGTTAAGATAAAAGCAAAAGATGGTTTACAAAGTCTCTCCAACAACTAGAGCAGTACCAAGCAACCAGTAAACACTTGCTAAACGAATAAAGCACTTAAACACATATCAATATGCCCACTCTGAATCTCTCCCCACCCCCACCCCCGCTCGGTTCATTCACAGGAAATCGCGAGGACCGCTATCCTCGCAGGAAAGCCCCCGAACCCTCATCGCGAACCCAAAGAGCGTGCTCCCTTGCAGGCTGGGCAAGGCGTCCACAGCCTGGAAGCTAACCGGGTCTCAGAGACCGACAGATGCACCAAGGACCCGCCACTCGCTTCCCAGAAGAGCGGCGGAGAGGTGGCGAGTCAGGGCCCTCCTTGCTTGTCCTCGGCTCTGTCGCCGCGCCAGTCGCTCAACCTACCGCTTACACGCCGCTGTCGAGCCCAGCTCAGCCCGGGCTCCTGGTGACCTGGCTGCCAGCCGGCCGGGCCGCGCTGCCATCACCCCGCCACTGGCGTCCGCCGCTGCCCACTGCGGGCCACCGTACTCCACAGAAGGCCTCGCCCGCCCCTCCCTCAGCGTGCGTACCAGCCCCATTCGTAGTACAGTGTTTCTTAGCAACCGCTTCGAGTCTCCAGGCCGGGGGTGGAGCCTCGGAAACCACCGCGGGGAAGCGGAGGGACGAAGCGAGAACGACCAATCGGAGACGAGTTCCAGTCCCTACCGGCCCGCCTCCTCTGACTGTCGCGAATCCGCAGGCGGCTTTACGGCAGCCAGGGGGTGGGGGCCTCTGGGTGAAGAGAAGGAAGCAACCAACCAACCAAGTCGCCCCCACCCCCTACCCTCACCTCCACCCACCGCGGATCTGGTTTACGGCTTGGAGCGCAGGCTCCAGTGCGGCCGCTGATTGGTTGCCGAAGGCTTGGTCCCATCCCAGTGACCCCAAAGTGCTGGAAGGAGGGGGCGGGGGTGGCCCAGTGCAAAGTGCATCCCGAAAGCCCCCTGTCGGGACACCCCGCTGCTGACACTTCAGACCTGGTACGATTTGGGGTCTCCCTGTCCCCAGACCTCTTGAGTCCCTCAGTAGCTGGAAGCCTCTGGCCCGGCGCGCGGCAGACCCCTGGTCTGAGCCCCTGGACTGGGACTGCCCCCCCACCCCAACCCGAGCCAGCACTTCCTCCCTGCACCCCTTCCCGGAGGCTGCCCCTGAGGCCAAGACCGCCACCTTCAACCGGATCGGCTATCTGGATGCTCTCCGGGTTGGGGCCGTGAAGCACCGAGGAGGATCAGGAACACGGTGTCCGGCCCTGCCTGGGGTGTTTCTTCAATGGAGAAGTTGGTGAATGTGGAGGAGGCTGAAAGGAGAGAGAGGAGCTGCAGCTGAGGGACAGGTAAAGTCAGTTTCTTCCTCCCCACTGCCCCCCTCGAGGGGAAGGGGCTGACTGGGTGTGGGAGGAAGGAGAAGAGAAGCCCTGCTTTCGCCTGCCTGCCCTTGCCACTCTCCAGCCTTTCTTAGCTCCCCCATCCTCAGAGCCCTCTCCTAGTCCCTGGACTCACTGCACCTCTCATTGGTTTCTGTTTTCCAGGTTTGAACTGGCTGGAGGACACTCGTGAGCAGAAGGGGACCTACCCACCCACCCAGGGACCTACCCACCCACCCAGGGACCTACCCACCCACCCACCGGAGAAGCAGCGGCGGGACTGCTTTGGACCGGCATCCTTTCTAGAGGTAAAGACCAGGCCGCCCCTCCCCCATTGTTTATTCCTGGCCCCTACCTCATTAAGCAGTGCTTTATTTTCAGGGTGGTTGCCTGGGAAGGCAAGCTTTCCTAGACCCTAGGTTCCTAGCCAAAAGAGAAACACAGCCCATGTCCGATCCTTAACATCTCAATAACTTCTCCAACCCAGAAACATCCTCTGGTTCCCGTTCAGACCGTTTCCGTGTTTTGCATTATCTTTTGGTGCACTGTGTCATTTACTCTGCTCTGAGGCTTTGAGACCTGTCGGTAGCTCCCCGCCTTCCTTACTCTCATAGGAATTCCTCGATTCCATGTTAATTGCTTGTTAATTCTGAATGATGCTGCTTTTAACTAAACCACAGTTTACTGTCGTCGTCCCCCCCCCCCCCCCCCGTATGGTTTTCTCTCTGCCTCCATCAGGAAAGTTTCAGTGTTACCTAACTGATAATGGCTTGGCAGCAGAAGGTGAACTGGAGGACTGAAACTTAAGGGTTTTGAAGAAAATTTAAATAATTTGCTTTAGTTTTCCTGGGAAAAACGGATGTGTGTAGCTAACTTCATAGGAGCTGTATAAAAGCAATTAGCCCCTGAAACAAAGTATCTGGCTTACCCTTTGGGTTTTTGTGCATGACAAAATGGACGGACAGCAGAGTTGTTATAAAGTGATAGAAATATTAGTTACATCTTTGGGGTTCTAGGTGAATTTAGAAAAATTTGCTTTGTACCTCCTTGACAATAGTGGCACAGTCAGGAATTTGAAAACAAAGTAGCGTCTTGGTATGTTTAGCTATGTGGGGCCTAGTTTTGGCAGTGGTCATTCTTGTTTTCTCATTTTAAAACCCTTACAGAGAACTTGCTAGATTGAAATGTAAGCACCTAGTTCATGTGGTCACATTTCTGCTGCCTATTTTGTTGCTGCCTCCAAAAATGCCCTCAAGGTAAGTTTAGACCGTTAAGGTAAAAAGAGGATATCTACAAACTAACCATATAGAGAGATGTTATACAAAGGACGGCAGAGAGACTGCCTAATGAGGAACTCTACAGCATTGGTTATCACAAATAAAAAGTGACCCATTTATCTTAATAACTCAAATGATTTTGGAATTTTCAGTGCAAAGAAGTAATTAAAATGGTACACTTTTTACTTTGTTCCTTTAGATTTCATGTGCCTTGTGCACACACACACACATACACATACACACACACACACCTTTTGAGTCTACTGATCCTTAAGACTTAAAGATAATTTTAAAAGATTCTGAGAGATTGTATATTTTTTAAAACTTGAAATTAGATTCGAAAGAAAGAGTATTTTGAATGGAATTTAAAAGTAGTATATATTAGCTCCATGCGATAGAGCCCTCTCTCTAATTGCTATACTTACTTATTTTGCTTGTTGTTTTTTTTTTTTTTTTTTTTTTTTGAGGCAGGGTTTCTCTGTGTAGCCTTGGCTGTCCTGGAACTCATTTTGTAAGTCGGACTGGCTCCGAACTCGGAGATCTGCTTACCTTTGCCCTGAGTGCTGAGGTGAGAGTCCTGGGATTAAAGATGTGTACCACCACTACTGTTCTTTCCAGGCTGAGGCCGTAGGATGGAGAATTTGAAGTGGGGCTGTTTGCAGAGTGAGACACAGTTTTTAAAGAACCGAGTGAAAGAAAGCAAAAGGAGGGGGGAGCCCCTAATATTCGTCAGTGACTGTACTATGGAGAAAATTTAGGGTAGCGTTCTTACACACACACACACACACACACACACACACACGGAATTAAGGAAAGGTCTGTCAAGGTAAAGGTAGTTGATACTACTTAAATACAGAGCTCAGGGCTGAAGAGGTTCTGCAGTTAAATGGGGATCTCAGCAGTGTGCTGCCTTTTGAGTACCTTATACCTTTTTTAAAAATGGTAATAAGATATTTGGAGTATGTTTCAAAGGTAAAAAGCAGGATATATTTTGTGGTCTAGCCTCTTTAGTGGGAGGGGGGGGTATTTTCCTCTTGAGAGTTAGCCTTGGGATGTATTTGCTAGGGTTCCTAAGTGAGGCCTATGTTTACCTGAGATTATAAATGAGGAGCACTCGTCACAGTTGTAAAGATGGATATTCCTCTGTGCTGGTTTCCAGCCAGGCCATTATTGCTACTTAAATCACAGTGCGTGAATCTGCTCAGCTAGCAATGGTTTTCCTAAGAAAACACACACACACACACACACACACACGGAGTGGAGGTTGTAATAATTAGTATGGTTGAGAATGTTTGGTTTAGGTTATGTCAACACAGTTAAAATTTATTTAATTTGGACATTTACTTAACAACGTGGCCATCTTGATATTTATATTTCTGTATCTGACAGTCAACTTGGTGTTAATTTTACTGTGAGTGACATGGGGGGGCACTAATCTGATCATTTGGTAACAAAATACAGATTTATATCACAAAAGGAGAGTAATTGATGCTACTTATATGCTACATCTTTAGTATGTTACGACCACTTCTATCTTTTATACCTAAAATGATGTCATTCATTCACAATTAATTCTATTAGATTATATGCACACATTATATATAAAGTAAATATATCATATCTTATTTTGTTCACGTGTGTGTGTGTGTGTGTGTCTGTCCTTAGCTTGTTTACATTTAGTGTATGTGTAGTCTCTGCTCACATTTAGCCTCAGTGGTTCCCTTCTTAAAATGGGTAAATAAGGTCAGATAATCTGGATATCTAAAACCTGACCTTCAGTCTTTCATTTTCATGTGAACGCACTCCCTCAGTGTAACATTCTGGCAAACTTGTGAGGCACTGGCTAAGTTTGACTTGGCATGACTGCATTAATAGGGCACTATTGGCAAAGCACTTCTCATACCCGTGGTTTAAGCTTTCAGTTGGATCTCTGTCACTTCATCTGCATTTTGTGAAAATCATTGGGTTTTCTCTTATAGTTTATGTGTGTCATAGGTAAGCTGTGCATGACAATCAAGCTTTTTGTCACATAGAGGTCCAATCCTTTGGAGGAAATGCATTGTCCTTCTTTAGGGACATGAACGCTATGGTATGTTGAGTGATACCAAAATAACACCTGCTTTATTTGGGCATCAGGCCCTTGATGGTATAAGTGGAGCCCGGCAGCCTGCCTGTTGGCTGTATTGTGTACTTTGATCGGACAGAGTATATTTCCGTACTGGCTTCTCTCTGGGGTCTTGTGAGCCATTGGTAGATTTTTAATTTTTGTCCTCAACCCAGTGTCTTGAAAGACGCTTATTTCTTTCCTTATGATTTACTCTGCAGAGACATGCTCTGTGCTGTCCTAAGTCAGGCGCTGTGTGACCTTATTTCTGTTGGTTTGAGACCAGGAAACGGAGGTCCCATGTGTGTCCCTTCATAAGATGTTGCAGAAACAGACAGCAAGCCTGCAGTCCTGACACGTGGGAGCTAAGGCAGGAGGGTCCCAGGTTGCTAGCCATCTTGCCCTTACAAGAGGGGCTTCGTATCTCAACCAAACCAAACAAAAAAACTGTGGAAGAAAATAATATGCAGGAGTCATTAATACACAATCCTGTGCCGAAGGAAATTGTTGAGACGTCAGATTTGTCGAAGGCTATGTATTCTTGGGCAAATTTCTACCATATCTTGATTAATGTGTATATTCTACTTTGGTCTGTTATCTCAGTGTAGATTTTCTTTTAACTGTGGGAGGTAATTCTGATTTTAACTGAATGAATTTTACTTGTCCACCTGGAAAGAAATTAGGCAGCAAAAAAAATGGTAGTATTCAGTGTGGTCAACTGATAAAAGCGTGGATTCCTAGGTTGTTATCTTTTGGCTTTTTTATA